GGGCTCTGAGCAACCTGATCTAGTTGAAGATGCCCCTGCTTATGGCAGGAGGGTTGGACTAGATGACCTTTAAAGTTCCCTTCCAACCCAAACTATCCTATGATTCTACATCTGCAAGAATATGTCTGTCTGCCCTTTTTAAGCAGGGCAGAGTTTTGTGCAGTCTGGAATCCACTTCAATCTACTTGAGTGTGTTCTTGCAGTCATGGGTCCTATGGAATGTTTCAGGTGTTAAAGCCGTCGATGAAACACCCCAGATCTAGATGAAGGTTGTAGACCAACCCTGCTTTAGGAGCAGGAGGGCTGCCAGCTGGGTGGGGAAAGGACAGAGGATGTGTACATTGAAAGTACTACTGTGCTACACTGCCTGATTTGTGATGGCAGAACCCTCCCCTGGCAGTCACAGCTGGCATCATGCCCTGCTATTTGGCTAGTTTTCAGTAGTTGAAGCCCAAGTTAGAAGCTAACTATTTGTCCTTCTTAATGGGTGGAGCCTCCTAGCTCACTGCACAAAGAACAATGCTTATGACTGCTGAGCCTTTGCTTAACAGTAAGCAGGATCAGTTTGCTGAAGTCTCAAGCTATTGCTAGAAAGAGGTTTTTGAAGTGTCAACAGCAGGTGGCCTAGCAATAGAAGTTGTCCCAGGCTGTAATCCTTTCAGCAGAGCACCTCCTTGTCACATTAACTGGCGCTGGCTTTCTTCCATGGGACTGTGGGGGTTTTTTTGCAGCTGGGGAAGTCAGACTTCATCATCTGTTCTAGTTCGTTTTCACCACAGATGAAGGACTATGTCCTCCAGACCTTCGCATGAAAGGAGATCTGCAGCCTTCTGCATTTCTACCTGTGGCTGTCATACTATACCCACAAGTATTTACAATATTGACTAGTATCAACTGTATTATATAACAAAGAGTCTGATTTTAGTGCCAGGGACTCATGCAACAGCTTCACCTTTAGTGCACCAAGTAGCTGCTCATCCACTGTTTGAAGTGCTTATCTGCATTATCAGAGATCAGCACAGTCTCAAGTCCCAGCAGGTACCTAC